AGATGGGGGGAGAAAAAAAAAGATGAAAAGGGAGTGACAAAAATTGAGATATCAAGAAGGTGACAGATAGGAGAATAATAAATGAAGCATGTTGTTATTTAACACTTCCAAAAGCAAGGAAGGGAAAAAGGGGAACAGAAATGGGAGAACAACTCCCCACCCTTGTCTTTCTTGTGCAAGTGGTTTCCTTTTGTGTTGAGGGACTTCTTCAAGAAGGATGGAAAGAGAGAAAAGGAGGAGAGACAAAGAAAGGGAGAAGGGCAAACAAGGTGGGAGAGGTGGTATAGAGGTGTCAAGGGAAAGTGTGTTTGAAGTCCAGAAGTAATTTTCTAACACGATAGCTGTGGCAGAGGTAGCAAAACAGAGTTTGTGTGCTTGTGTGCACTGTCTACACATTCTTCAGACTGTCCACACTTGCAGCCTCAAGTGCCTGACTGCATGTGTGTGAGATTAAGAGGCAGAATGAGAGAGAGTGCACTGAAAGGTACTTGGTCCATGAAGCACTCAAGTATCAGTAAGGGACACGAATGCATTGTGAAACATCTCCGTAGAGGCGATCAAGTCATTTTTATGTGAATAAATTGCTATAACTTGTAGGCATTTCAACATTTTGGTTTGCAGTTCTCTCTCTCTCGCTCTCTGTGGAGAACTGAATAACCAACCTCCAAATGTTTCTGTTGTCCTGATACACACAAATCCACCTCAACAATAAAACTACCATATGCACATTGTGTAGGTCCCCCTCATGCTGCTAAAACAGCTCTGACCTGTCAAGTATCGACTCCACAAGACCTCTGAAGGTGTCTTGTGGTATCAGCCACCAAGATATTAGCAGCAGATCCTTTAAGGCCTGTTGAGAGGTGGGGCTGCCATTAATTAATCAGCACATCCCACAGATACATGATCGGATTGAGACCTAGGGAATTTGTAGGTCAAACACCTTGAATTCTTTGTCATGTTCCTCAAAAGTTTTTCTTGAACATTTTTTGCATGTGGCAGGGCGCATTATCCTACTGAAAGAGGCCGATGCCATCAGGGGATACCATTAACAAGAAGGGACAGACAACAATGTTCAGGTAGGTAGTACGTGTCAAAGTAGATTCCGCATCAATGTCAAGGACATTGCTCAGAGCATTGCACTGCCTCTGCTGGCTTTCCTTCCTCCCATAGTGCATCTGCTGCCATTTCCTAAAGTAACGGATGCACACACACAAACATACCCAGTTGTAACATCGCGTAAGATAAAACATGATTCCTCAGACCTGGCCACCTTCTTTCACTGCTCCACGGTCCAGATGTGATGCTGATGTGCCCATTAAGTCGCTTTTAGCTGTGGACAGGGGTCATAATGGGTACTCTGACCAAGCTGCGGAATCCCTTATGCAGTGACCTACTATGATGCACTGTGTTCTTTAACCTTTCTGTACATTTCTTTCATAGCCAACACCAAGTTTTTCAGCAATTTCTGCTATCAAAGGTCATTTGTGTGAGCAGACCCGCCTTTGTTCCTCACATGCATCAATAAGCCTTGGATGCTTATGACCTGCTGGTTCACCAATTGTCCTCCATGGGACCACTTTTGGTTGGTACTAACCACTGCATACTGGGAACATATGTTCTGACTTTGTCATCTAGCCATCACAATTTGTTTTTTGACAAAATCGCTCAGATCCTAACTTTGCCCATATTCTCCTCTTCCAACACATCAATTTCCAGAACTGAGGCTGGATGCTGTAACAAGATAACGTTTTTCACTTCACCTGTCAGTGGTTTTATTGTTGTGGCTACTCAATGTAACTCTTTCTAGCATTACTTGGATGTATTCTTCACCTAACCAAATCCTAGCTGTATCTAAAATTTGTAGCTTGGAAAAATACCGTGATTACAGCGATTTTTAAAAAACACATATAGAGTGCAGTTAAGGAGACTTGTTCCAATGAGGTGGTTTAAAAAACAATCCAAACTAGAATTCTACATGCATTCCCTAATTTTCTATTAATGGCAAAACCTAAACATCAATATATTGTGCAAGCTGCAAAACAACTTAGAACTAAGAATTCTCAGTAGCCATTTTGAAATGGAGGCGCTTCAGTTCAAAACCTGATAAAACAAAGTGAGTCATTGAACTGAGGCCAGTATATCACTAAAACAGATTAAGCGTAACTTTCATGGCCACGGCTTCGTTTCCCCTTCAACCCAGTGTATCCCAATGGGGAGATAATCTGGGAAATGCAGCGGTATCAGGTCCTTTCTAGGTTGCCTGAGAAGCCTTGTGAGACCCTCTGGAGATATGAGGCTTTGATATCAAGACCAATTACGTGGTATGGGCACACATACACACACACGCAAGCACACACACAAACATACACACATAGGCATGCACGCATTCACAAACACACATGCACACACTCCTTCGCCTTGGAGAGTGGTAGAGAGGAAAACAAAGAGAGAATGTGATACTGAGGAAACACTGGGCAGGCGGAACATGCTCTGATTTTATCAGCCAGTTGAGCTGAGCTTGAAAGCCAGAGACGATACAGACATAGAGGGAATGAGAGAGTGGAAACCAGACAGGCTGAAACAGACTGAAGAAGAGAGAGATGTGTGAGTACTGGGAAGAGCTGAACGCACATACACACAATCGCACAAAAAAAAAAAAAAAAAGAGACCTCGCAATGTGCAAAAGCCCCGATGACGCTTTCAGTGCGCATTAACAAGTGCACAAACACATACATCGGATATGTGCATCAGCACAAGCTCAAAGGTTCGCTGGGTGAATTTATGTGTAACACTGGTGCTTTTAAAACACACTTGCCGCACGCATGAGCATATTTGAGCTTTGTTTCTGCGAACACACAGTGCTGTGTGTGTCGACGTGCAAAAAGGCTCACTCACAGTCTCCTGCACAACACGCATGCACTGAGATATATGTGATAAACAGTTGTTTCCGGTCTGAGTCACCTCCACAGAGGATCCCTCAAGATTAAGTTTGGCCTCTGGCTCTGCTAATTGGAGCTTAAAGTCTGGTGTAGCCCCTGGGCAGTGTATGCTGTGTGTGGTACATGCTGTGTGTGTGTGTGTGTGTGTGTGTGTGTGTGTGTGTGTGTGTGTGTGTGTGTGTGTGTGTGTAAATTGTGGATCGAAAGGGCTGTAGAAGAGTGGCCACACAAACTGCAGCTACCAGAGCGAGCGCAGAGGACCAAGCCAGGCCAAAGCAATCGCAGCAGAGCTCCACCACATGACACAGACAGGTGGTTTGATAGAGAAACAGAGGAGGGAGCGGGAGCGGGGAAGATGGCAGCAATGTTGAGACAGAAGAAAAGATGAGAGGGAAAATAATGGGACAGCAGGAAAGAACACTCAAAGTCAGAGTAGCACGTGATCTGAAAAATTGAGATACTAATGGTGACATTAATGAATAATTTATCTCCAGACATTCTCATTACAGAGAGCATTGCTTTCCCCTCATTGCTATTTTCGTCCTGCTATTATTTTCCAGTTAGTTCTCACCATCATACCTGCCTAATACAAAAAGTTGATATGGAAGATTGCAGAGACCATAATGATGCAAAAGACCAGCACAGATAACCAAAAACAAAAGACTACTTCTCCATATTTAAAGGTAGTAGTAGGAAAACTGGTAATGGATCTCTTGGACCAAGTTTTTACAATATGTTGATCATTAAAAAAAATCCAAATGATTCAAGCTTTAAAAGCGCTCTGTCTTGGTATTACAGGTTCATTCTCAGATGAGGAATGAAAGCAGCTTTTGTCAGATTCATAAAGTATTATTATATTTTGCAGGCCAAAGAAAAACACACTGCTTTTTCCATACAGGGGTGAAAAGTGGAAACATAATTTGCTGATGCTAATTTCTACTTTGCATATTAGTTATGATAATCTTTTGTTTATAATGTAACACAGTGTAAAAATGTAAAAAAAAATAAAAAATAAAAATGTAGGTTTAGTGAATCATTACTGAAATGCATTTCAGTCACATATGCTAGTATTTACAACCCTAAAATCATATTTATATGTACCATCTAATTGCCCAGTTTAGGCGGCATAGACCCAGCTTGTCACGTCAAAACATGAGTGGGAGTCAGACCATAGTTGGCTAAACAAACTGTGATATGGAACTATATGTAAGTCTTAATGTATAAAATTCATGTCTTATTAGTGTAGAATGTTACAGCCATAAAGTCAACATCCTAGCAATTGCTTTACTATTAAACAATCAAGTATCCTTTGATGAATGATAAACTGCTAATATGTGAAGCTCTTCACAGGGCTCCAGCTGCAGCGCTCCTAACAGCATTGTCAAGAGAGGAGAGTTGTAAGACAATTTCCAGAGATCAAATAAAAATTTACAGTTAGAAATAGCATATTTTAGCCATGTGTTACAAAACATTTATAACCTGCGAGTCTGCTGCTCCCACATACTGTGAGTTACTACAGTTTATTCATAGAGAGTACTTTGACCGATGTATTCTGCTACTAGCCAATATTAAATTACTATAAATTGTTACGAGTGCCAGGCAGCTGTGTTGTTCTGTGTTGTTGTTTTGCCTGTGTGTAGATAGGTGCATCAGTGCGTGAGCGTGGCTGTGTGCATCGTTTGTACGCTTCAACCACCTCCAGGGATAGTGAGGGTCGTGAGTTTCTGGCACTGTTATTTCAGGCGTCGTGGGCTGAAAAGTTTAGGAACCCCTTGACTTGGAAAAGTAAGTAGAGCAATTCAAAAAGTTCTTGTTTTGGCTCAGTGTTAGCACCATGAGTCAGCCATGCACGTTGCACCTAAGTATACCATGGGACAAACGCAATTAACAAAGCAATACACTGAATGAATTATGCAAGCTGCGGTTGTCCAATTTTGTTCTACCGTCGTCGGAAAGTGTGAAATGTTCATCGCAACCACTCTATAGAAGCATCAGACACTGGGTTGCATACTGTGACGTGTGTTGGTGCATTCCACATCGCTCATTTACTCACACACTAACCTGAGTGACATGATCTTGTATGCATCGGGCAGGTAGCACCGCGTATTCTCCATCTGGGCGGGGTCCGAGTCGCAGATCTTGTCATCGGTGCGGCCGTAGTTGGCACTCTCAATCATGATGACATCTGTGCCCGGGCAGCGTAGTTCGATGGGGTAGGACTCACAAGACAGCTCCCTGCGGACTACTGCCATGGGGATAGGGGCACGGCCATAGACTGGACAAACAAACACACAAAAACATACATTGGTACTGGGGCGGTGACAATTGTCTATCCTACTTGCTTAAATACTGGAATACCAGACCTATTTGTCGAGCTGTCTTTAATTTATGTGCACTGGAGGCCTAAATTGTAACAAGAATGGATTGTGCTCAACTAAAGCTGTATTTGTACCCTTGTCATATAGACTTAATTATCCACACTATATGAAAACAATAGCATCACAGAAGGGCATGTCCAGAGTCGCAAGTGAACCGACTTGGTAATTACTGTTTTGCAGTTTTAGACATCATTCTAGATACAGAGTAATTGCCTGGCAATTTCAATAGACATTTAGCGCTGCAGAGATTATTCAAAGATGGAAATGCCTAATTATTCTCAGAAGTTGCAAATTTGATGCATACATTCACTCACTCTGTACTGAAATAGGAAACATGTCATTAATTCCAATGAGACTGAATCTTACTGAGGTCTCCTAGATCTTTTTTTCTTTTTTTACTGCTTTACTAGCTTGTCTTCGGTGCCACAACAGCTCCATTGCCATTTAGAGACAAAAAAAAAAAAAAGCATAGTACCTACAAAATTCAACATGCTGCAACTCTTTCATGTGCCTTCTTTCTTTTAATTACGTGTTATATTAAAATACCTCATACATATTTTCAAGAGATTAAAATTGTGTTACAAAGGGATAGGACTGCTGTGATATCGTTGAAGCGGGGCGAGATGTTCCCAGGGATTTTAGTTGTTGTGGTGCAGCTTGGATGTTGTTTTTCTCTGTTCTTGAGAGCAGTGATCCCTGGGAGCATGAGCCGTCATCCCTTGATAGATAGGTTATCAGCTGAGGTTCTCACTTGTGTTGTTTGGTTTTGTCATCCCTTGCCACTGCTGTAATATTAATAGGGAGGTTATTATGTTTAACTTTATAAATTTTACTGCATGTCAACAGCTACGTGTGCCTAATGCCACCGCCTGAGAATGTGATGCTATATCCTGTGCATGATACATATTCTGCATTTTCCCTGTTGAATAAAAGACATAAAATATATTAAACCCAGTCTAAACGAGTGTCCGTAGCATGTAGCGAAGGCTCAGTGATTTATACTGCTTGCTGTTACATTTCATCCTTTTTTTTAATTAAAGAAAACATCCTGTCAAAACCATCACTCACACACACGCACATGTGTTTACCTGTGCACGTACGAACACACACCTATGATCCACAGACGCAGACCTACAGCATCCCTAGAAAAGCGAGGCACGGCACCACCTCCCTCGCTCTCCCCTGTCACGGTAACCATAGCAACCCTGTCCTCCCTCCCTTGGCTCTCTCATTGGTTAGACGAGCGTCATGGTTACACAAATGCAGCAAAGAATCTGAATGAGCTCAATGACACTCTGCCCGGGCTCAACTTAATACTGCCCTTCACCACATCGCACGCACGCACGCGCGCGCACACACACGTATGCATACAAATGCTCTGAGTGATGGAATGCGGAGGTAGAAATTCACAGCCGGTGTAGCCAATATCTGTGTGGTTGCTGCTACCTGAGGGCACAACATTGATAATGGCAGGCACTAGCTTGGAGATAAGACTGATATATAAATGACATTTACTGAAAATGTCCTCTCTAATAAACAGACACATGCGCGCACACATGCCTACACCACTGCAGGCTATGATTAGACCTTAAGCACACATTCAAACAGGATGTGCGTCCCGGTGATAGCTGAGGATTTGAGGGGCAACATGTGTTTTTTTGTGTGTGTGAGAGGGGGGCGCTTAGGGCACTGGGTCAGTGTTGTGTTAATATAGCTGTTAGTTTGTTAGATTTTCAATGGCCACATTATGACTGCCTTTGTGAGCATGAATATGAATTTTGAAGAGGGGGTTAATTGAAGCGCGCAGGGGATCAATACGCAGTATTGTAAGGCAGCTGTCTAGACTCACTTTGGATCAGATGTCTTACAGTGTTGCCTTACAGGGTCCCCACAGGGCATAAAGCGAGCATTATGACACAAGCACACACACACACACACACACACACACACACACACGCACACAATTCAAATGAAGAGTCTATCTGTAGTCCAATTAAAAACCACTCTGCCTTCATAAGCAGCAGTAAATGCTCTGATTCACACACGCCATCCTTTCTTGTCTGTTACCTTCTAATTTATCTTTTTATATCAGCTGCCTCACCTATAAAACTGAAGTGTTTAACCTGCCCCAGAAGGACTTCCTCCACACTGCACATATGTGGAGCATCTTCACACTGCACCTCTTGATGCAAACACACTACCACACATGTAGCATGTGATGTGTAGCTCTCCGTCCCTGCCTACAGGTAATAACGTGTGAGCTGGCAAGTGCATGTTAATGTGTCTGTCATTAGTTGTGTAAGTGGTGACAGAAACTTGGCAGCCACAGGCAGTACAGACAATCTTATTCAGACACTCTCATTGCCTCAGGGGGCTGAAACAAAAGGATATCGATTTTTACATTTGGGCCAAGAACAAGAGAGTGGCGAAAGAGGTGGATAGATGGAAAGAAGGAGAAGAAGAGGGTGAGAAGGAAAGAGGAGAGAGATTTAAAAGGTGATCTCTCACTTGAACTGACAAAGCATTTGGCCAGTGCTGATTTCTGAAATGTGGGTCTTCTGAGTTAGAGCAGAAAAGATTTTAAAAGGTACGAGTCGCTAGCAAAATTCTGTTTTTGTATTTATTTTTTTGGCCGATAAATCCCACAAAAAAGAGCAAAACTAAATATGTATTGATCGCAATAAGTATTGTTAGGGTAGCCAAAACCTGATACAGCTTTTTTTAACTTTGTACTTTAGGTTTAATCACATATAGATCACTGCTCACTGAATAAATGCTCGGTGGAGGCGTTGGAGTTGACAGTCAGCGTGCGGCAGGAATCTGTACAATCCATTCTGTGCAATTATTTCGAGGAAAACTTTTGGCCAGAGACTCGCTTCCTTTGAGATAGTTGTTCAAGGTCCCTGACTAAAAAGTTGCTTAAATAAATGAATATGCAGATGGTTTTCTCTATTATTTTGTCCAAAAAGCTATTACAAGCACATCATTGAGTTACACTGTTGCACTGGGTATCATTTATAAAAATCTATATATTATTACTGATGAATAATAACTGTTTTTTCATGAGGATGACCTGCAATTTAGTAAGAAAAGTATTCTTCCATGGCTGAAAACAGTTTTCAAACTGCGTCAAGCCTTCTAAGAAATTACCTTTATCTAATTTTGTTTTAATTTCATGTGTGTATGTATTAGCAAATAGCCTAGGGGCTGAGGGTCACAGACAAGGTTGGGGAAACAATGTTTTTAGTTATGGTCTTTTCGTGACACCATTTGGTAAGTAAAGTACAGAATAACAACAGCCTTTTTCTTTATCATCATGAAGTGTCCATGTGTTTGCTGCAGTTTGTTTGTGGTCCATTACAGTGATCTTTACTTTTGTGTTATCTTCCGAGCACCAACGTGATCAACAAGTCAACTCAGGTAAAACCAAAAATACACTCTAAGCCCCGGAAAACTGTGATTTTTGTTTGAAAATTCATGTTTTTCTTTATATTTGTCTTCATAACCCTTGAATAATAACAAGACATGGCTCGCTGGAGAAGATGGAGTGCTTCCTGTGTATCCTCAAGCTAAACTGTCTTTGTTTCAACTAATCCTTGCTAAGTATAAACTGCATGATTTGCATATGTCGACTTATTCTTTAGACATTGATGCAAATACCTTTGACTGAAACTCATCTCTCGGTGTTAAAGCAAAGCCCTCGTGTGTTTGTGTGTCTGAGTGGCTGCCTGTGAGCACTTCTTGTGCGCGCCTTGTGTGTGTGTGTTCACGCATGTGCTTTTAAGACGGATCTGTGTCCATGTGGGTGCAATATTTCAGTGTTTAGAGTACATCATCTGTGAGCATGTATGGCAGCAGGCATGTGAACAAGTACATGCTTGAATGTGCCTCTGTGTGTGTGTGTGTGTGTGTGTGTGTGTGTTACACAGTGTGATTGACAGCAGCCATTAATAGGATTAAGTCCAAGTGGGCCAGAGCTCCCTCTTGGAGTCTTCAAAGCCCACCGTCACAGGGGAGAGGAGGAAACATACAGATGACCTACTGGGGCTCCATCTGCACTGTGTATGTGAGTGTAGTGTAAAATTGTATGTATGTGTATGGGAAATAATCGTGCACAACCATAAGCTGGATGAAACATGTTAATGAAAAAGTGTTTGGTTTTACAGCTGTAGAGTTTCTACCAGGTACTTGGGTGTGTGGGAGAGAACAAGGAGTTAAAGCCTTCCGATAAATATCATACTTCAGTTTGTAGTTTGGGTGTATCTGTTTTTCTTAAATAGTAGATGAAAACAAGTGGAAACCAAAAGTTATTGTAAATTACAGGCTGCAAAAATGCGTTTGCAAGTGGAGATTTGACTGCAAGTGTTATAGATTTATGCAGAGTGAACAGAGAAATAAATAAAAATTTAAAAAAAAAAACACTGCTGAAATGGAATTTGTTGCAACAGCACTGCAACAAATACCATCTCCTTTTCTGTAGAAACTCCAGCAACAGGCCTTTATGTTAGCAGACAAGGCATGTCATAAGCACAGGTGTTACTAATAATATCAACCCCTGCTCTGTTCTATTCAAATACTCCAGTAAACCATGACAGTGTGTCAGAGAGGCAGCGATATCAATACCCTGAAATTAAAGCAGCTGTGTTAAATTCAGCCATCATTAATTGTATTATTTACTCATTTGTTTTCCTGCTGTAACATTTCAAAAAATATGTGAAATGGGGAAAATCTTGAAGACAGGAGAGTAGTAGTCACCTGGGTTAAGCATAAGCTCGCTGTTAGTAAATACCTCTGAACCACAAAATGGCTGTATTTTACATCAGTCTCTCTTTTTCTGTTGCTACCTGTATGTTATTCAGAAGATGCATAACTGAGGTGTAACTGTGGATAGTTTACATATCTTTAATGAAGTTCCACCAAGTAACGTAATACTTTATTAAGTACTGCATTGCTGCTACCAATAGTAAAGTTTCGTACAGGCTGTTTTGGTGAGTGAAGTGTATCCTTGTGTCTTACCAATGGCAATGGGGGCAAACAAGGTCGAGATGAAGAGAAGGCATCTGGTCCACATGACGTCTGAGTGTGACCTGGAAGTAGATATGGAGGTACTTCCTGCTGAGCCCAGACGGTCTTGTGGTGAGCTGTTTCTCTCACAGCTCAGTGTTCCCGACACCATACAGGCCTGCGAATTGACACAAAGAGAGAATTTGTTTACTTGGTTGTTGGATATAAACACATTACAATAAAATACAATTTTCATACATCATTGTTTCGCAAAGGCATGCTCTCCATCACAAGCATATTTTACCATCCATTCCCACCTCTCCCTTCCTAAATCCTCCACGACTTGGAAGTATCATGAGAGCATTAGACCTCTCATGATTCCACTTTCTATGACAATGAATTATCATTAAAAAAACAAACAATTTAAATTCACAACCACAGATTTATTACCAATTTACCAAACACGTATTAAAATAATTCCTAATTATATCAACAAATCAGTTTGCTGATTAGTACTGATAAACTTAACAGCATAAACAACAGCCTGTTCTTACACCTACAAAGTTTACGCAGCCAAGGAGCAGATTTCCCTGACACCGTATCACTCCTACTACTTTACTGTTTACTTATGGAAGACTGACGTTTTAACAAACAGCAGTTTGCTCAGGTCTCTGCAGCTTCCCGTATACATATGTCACAGTGGGCTAGACAGGAATCAATAATTATCTTCAACAATACGGAGACAAATGAGGCGAGCACTGAATGATTAAGTAACTGTTATAGTTGCTATCAAAACCCTGGGACAACTCCAGCCCGATGCAATGCGAACCAACTTTGCAGAGTATGAAAAACATGAAGAATACCAGGAAAACTAGACAAGAGGGAGAGTTTTGTGGATTTGATGATGCAAGTCGTGATGGAGACAGATTTTCTTTAGAGACTATTTATTAGGCTGCTGACTAGAAGCATATCAATCAATTAAAAGTACAAGATTAGCTTGACAAATGGAAAGTGATCCTATAATTATGCATGCATATACATCGCCTGACAGCATACATTGTACATGATATGGTTCGAAATAGCTGCTGAACCGTTTACAATTCCATATGAAATTGTTTAAGATCATAAGTAGTCTGTCTATCATTAAGTTGTTCTTAAATTGCCTATTTTATTATCCCTATGGAGTCTCAAATTATCTCACATTGTGCTGTTACTGTTTCTAAAGGAATCAAAAGATGTTGTGATTTTTGCAGCGTTTAAAGCTGCAAAATACAGCTGGAATAAAAAAATGGGATGATACTGATTGTGAAGCGAGAAAAGAATAATTGTACAAATGCGTATCTGACATGACAACAGACCATATGCCAAATAATCCGTGCACAACAAATCTGAGGGAAAGCAAGACTAAATGCTAAATGTTGACCTTGTAGAAAAAAAAGAGAAAAAAACATAAACACGGTAAAATGGTACTTAATGTTTGCATAATGATGCTTCTATCTGCATTCACTTCGCTTGCTATGCCACATCAGCATCAAAGTGTGAAATGCATTGATGTCCCAATCTAATTGTTCATTTCATGCTCCATCAGCGATAAACAATTAATAAGAGGATGGTCTCTGAGATAAGTTATAGCAGTGACAGACTGGTAAGCATTGTTTCTCCTTCTTTTTTCTGAACTGATTAAGCAGACCAGCATTGTTCAATCACTTGCTCACTCGCCCACTCGCTCATCCAACAAGTAACTCAATTACTTCTTGTCTGCACTCCCAAATTCACTTTTTAATTATGAAAAACTAGGATATTTACGCATTTCCTCTGTGGACTTTGTGTGTTTGTATCATTTTTTATTTTTTAAAGCCTGCAGAAAGGTCAAAGCATCACACAGCCATTATGCAATCATCCTAGCTGATATCAACTAAACATAATTTTTCATGGGAGTAGTTCAAAGGTAACAGAAGCCCTATTTTGTGCCTAAATGTTCACAGTTCTCAAGGGAACCCATACCCAGCTCCAAAAAAAAAAAACAAAAAAAAACAAGCCTGTCGAGTTTGCATGTTTGTGACGCGCAGATAGAGAGAGACTGCAGAAATTTGCGACAGCCAGGGACAGATGGAGCAAAGCAGACAGCCAGAGCCATGGGAAATACATCATGTGTAACAGAGACTATTGATCAGTGTGACCATATCATTTTGGCCCAATAGAGACCAAGACAATAGCCAGTCATCTCCGTCACGCCATGCTGGGATGGCAAATAGCTGCTTTGGAAATAGTCTCTCCCTTAGAAAATTTGTGACAGCTACAACTACTGTTATCAGAAAACATTTTTCTTTCATTTATAGAAAATGTCAGAATGACGCAGACCTTTTAACCACCAGAAACATACTACATATGCACAATGCATCCTCTGAGCATCTACAATGACAAAAAGCCCCGTGCTGCAGACAAGACAGACAGATATACCCAAAGGCTCATGTGTGCCAGAGAATCTGAATCTCTGGGAACAGCCCAGAGACATACAGTACGATAAGATCTGTGTAATCATCTGGGGTTTTATGGGCTCCGTTCTTTTTTGGATGTCAAAACAAATCCTTGAAAGTGAAAATTCATTTAAAATTATCATGATGAAAACAGAAGCTACACTTCATCTTAGGCAAGTCTGAGCAGTTGTAAGAGAAAAGTCAATTTACATAAAGTACTATCAGTCAATTTCTATGGTCAAACCTGATCAAACACAAACAAATGTCATAAACTGCTGCACAGTTACAGAATCTGAAGTTTGATATGTTTTATTTAGTTTTTCCTGTGACCTGCATGACACCAGGGTGGTCTCTTGATGCAAAAAAAATCAATGTTTCCATAAAACACTGATCAAAATGGCAGCGTACCTTTGATACACAAACCAAAACAGAACCAGCCGAGGTAACAAGAGTCAAAGTAAGAGTAAGGTTTTCATCCCACGATGCAAAAACTGCCCGTTTGTATCACCTCAGGCTTTGTGTTAAACCCTCTTGAAAATAACCTTGACTGCTGCACTTACAAACACATTCAGCTTTGTGAATATCAGGTGGTTCGACCGATTCCGCTGGAGAGTGATTTCATATCTGCTAACAGTTCCTGACAAATCCCTAATGGTGCTAAAGTGATAGACTCACAATAGACTCCTGTGTATTATTCTACTCTCTGCTTAAACAACCGAACAGGCTACCCCATTTTGATTGATTGGTCCCTAACTCGGTTGAACATGAGCAATCTGACCAGCTGTCCCCAGCTAGACAGAGGAGGCATACACTGACATATGGCTGGACGCCACCAGCCACAGCATTCCACTGTTTCATAATTCAAAAGCTATTCCATCACCCCGTATGTTCCGCCACCATCTCGCCCATCAGTTAATTAACCCTCTGATTTCCTCCATGTGCACAGTGCCTTCACAGACAATAGTTGCGTGATAGCCTGGAGCAGCCCAGGACAAATCCAAACTCAAATCACTCAATTTCTGTTCATAATTCAGCAGGGCTGCGTACCACCATATGCTCCGATAATGACATAAAAATACGTTCCATCTACAGACAATGATGATTGCCCAAAGCATTGCCCTGTTTTCTAACCTGTTTCCTTTCATTATCTTAATGTGCTGATTGGTTAATATATGATGAATAAACAGACAGTAATGGCGCTAATTATCGGAACATATGTGATGTGTTTACACCCAGTATCCATCCGTTGATCGTGCACATAAGGTTCGGCAAACATCATATGCTCCGTCTGAACCTACTCACTGCTAAAATGATGAAATGATCAAGTCATATTTTTTAAATGAACTCAATATTTCCTATCCACAGCTAGTTATATCTCACTGGAGACGCTCCCTCGCACAGAAGCGGCATCTGCATAAAACTGAGCAAAACATCAACTAATAAGCAGGATCAGACCAAAACAAATATCTGTCCCTGGATCCAAGTCCTTGGATTTACCTGCTGTTTCTATTCCTCCTTGCTGCAGTCGTATCTGCTCAGGTAGACATCTGTATATTACATTTTTTAACCTTGACTATTTTATAGCATTTAAATTTCACTTATATTATGTTAGTGTAGTTAATACAGTTTACAGTTTGAATAACACTGTATTATTTAGTGTGCCATGAGGACAATCTGCTCCCCAGCAGTCTTGCATAAGTGACATGGTCTCTATGTCCTATATTTTTCTGCCCTGAATCTTCATTTCCTACAGGGTCGGCATTAGCAGAGCTGTTGCAGAGGCTGCTACATTCGCAGACTATATTGCATGCATCCATGCACTAATTGATGTTAGGCTGATTCTGTGCACCAAGGCACCCTGACCCTATGTGTGTGTGTGTGTGTGTGTGTGTGTGTGTGTGTGTGTGTGTGTGTGTGTGTGTGTGTGACTACAGTCCCCTAACGAGAGTCCTGCCTGTCACAGCACTCCTCATTCGGGGATTCTCTCTTTCACTAATGAGTGCTGACCGGACTGGGCTACCTTGTCAACACGCGTCACACGCACACACACGGGCATGCGCATTCACTCACACACACACACACACACACACACACATTTTTACACACACATGCTTATCACTAGGAGACCAGATGCCCTGCTCCCTCAGCCTCCAGGCAGAGAGTCTCAAATGTGTCCATGTTGCATTTGTAGTTCACCCTGTGCGTATGCCTAAAAGAATACCACGTGGACATGTAAGTGCGAGAGTGTGTCTGCGTGTGTGTCACATTAGGAGGGTGGTCCACACAATTGCAATTGCTGAGAAAAGAAAAACAAAAAAAAATGTTGATACTATCATATCTGAACTGTTACATGATCTCCATAATTAGTGGAAAAAAACATTTTTTCAGTGTAGTGACAGTTTTGAAAGAAAACATGCTCATCATTAGCTAAACCCTTTAATTTGAAAAAAATAAATTTTCAAGATATTTGTTGGCCAAGCACAGTCAGATGAGGTGTTTGTATAACACATTGATGCATATATAAACTATATGTATTTTTCATACCAGCTTGTTGTGAAGGCTTCTATAATTGCTCAGAAAGAAGCTCAGCAGCTTATGTATGCTTTCCTCCCTTGCCATTTTCCTTCACTTAGTTTTTCTTCACCTGTTCTTTTCTTCCCTCTCTTTAGTCTCTTCAGTTGTTCGTTCTTTGCTCTGGTGG